CGTCCCCCCCCCCCCCTCGCTGTCATGCCGCCGTCAGTGATGTGGTGCCGCTGTCGATGGTTCCGTCGTCCTGGCGCCTCTGCCCGTCATGCCCCCACCGTGGTTTTGCTGCCCTCATGCCGCTGTCTGTTGTCTGTTGTCCGTGGTGCCGCTCCCGTTGTGCCCCGCCATTGCCACTGGCTCAACAGCTGCCAGTCCCTATCCTATCAATTTGAATCATGAATTTGGATAGGGTTATGTGTCCCACATATTTACTGTACTATCATCCCAACTTTCGGAAAATGCAGGGATGTCGGAACCGTTGCGATATAGGTCAGGATACAGGTTGTACTGGGATTTAGGATTAATTGAAGACGGCTGGTTCAACGTTCATACAACAGTAAACGAGTGTAAACAAATTATTGTGCACTCCACATTATATGCAACATATATCGCGTCTTTGAACCAGGTTGAAGGCAACGCAACGTGTACCGACGCAACAAGTGCGACGTGAAATTCAAGTGCGGATGGCCAGTGCGCGACGAGAAATTCAAATTTCGCTTTGTTCCAAAGTGAGGTTTACAATCATTTAGTGGAGACTAACGATCAAGAAAAGAGACATGCAAGTGCGAACGCCAGTATACACAAGTTGTTTTTTGTACGTCGGTGTGGTAGCGAGGTTTAAGTAATAGGTTCACTACTATAAGAACGAGTGCACGGCAAGAATATCAACCACTCATGCTACTTCAAGTATTATTTATCGGCACACCTTGAAAACAAAATGCGACAGCAATTTGATGATACCATTGGTCTTGTAGTTATATATGAAGTCTCGATGTTTAGCAGCAGAATTCTCGTTCTCCTGGATATTAACTCAATACAACCCAAATTTGGAGGCATTTCGATTTGCTTGGTCCGCCACAAAATACCCTCTCAGCCAACTCGACTAGAATCAGCTAGCACACTTCAATCCAATCACCGATACGGTTATACAATCGCTGACGGCTCCATTCTCAAACAGTAATGCACACCAACACGATTCCATTTCACAGACTGCTCCCTGCCATTCTACTTCCCAAACTAAACACGTGTCTAGTTAGTATCTTGGGTAGTTCAGTTACCTAGCCAACCAACATCCAACACAATATTACCGTCTATTATACCCGGATTTCAAACTCGGGGCACTAGAACAACATTGATCATTTGTCCCCTGTGAATGCTTCTGGGCTTATTGTGCCTTTCAATACTTTTGTCGTTTTTATTTAGCTGCATCCTCGATTTATAGTAATATAAGGTCGTTTTATCAACCGCGGCCAATGTAAAGTATAAGGCGGTCTACTTAGGGCTCGGACTATGAAAGCATCTCCATGCAACCGCACCAAGCGCTATCTCTAAAGACGTTTTGGCGGTGCCTCCTAGTAATGTATCTGTTTTGGCAAGGTGTTGTCACACCGTCACCTACCAAAACTATCGCCAAACGGCCGATCTTTTGTCATTCTATACGTACGATACCATTAGGCTTCAGAATGAGTTGGCGAGCGCGCGTGAACGACCTCCTTCTCCTAGCTCACGACGCGAACGAAGGTGAAACATCCGAAGCAATCGTGCAGGCTAATACGTCTGCAGTGTTGCCAGTAGCTGTAATGCAGGAGCCCTGCAAGAATCCTGGGGAGGGGGGGGGGGGGGCTTTAAAATGAATAGTTTGCGCCGTGTTCTTATTTGAAGGCGGGTTGTTAAGAC